GGGGAGGGGATAGGGAGAAATGGAGATAGGTACCAATTTAGGCCATAATTTTAAATAAGGCCTACAAATTTTCCCAATTCTGCAGCATAACAAAATAGGTCAAGTGATGGCCACAGCAATACTTTTATCCAAAATGGCACAACTTAAAATAAAATCATATTATAACTAATGATCAGTCAACATATCAGCAGCAGTGATTATTGATGTCTTGACATTTTTCTTGGAGTCTCTCAGCCTTACCACCCAGCCTCAGCACAAAATGTGAAGTTCGCCATTCAATTTCACGACCACAAGCTGCTTGAAGAAAGAATATGAGAAAGGAATACTCCCTAAACAGCCAAGCCAGAAACAGCTTCCACAGTGGAGGCAAGGAATTGTTTGGCTAAAAAAAATAAAAAAGAAGAGGATAAGTTAGTTCATTCTCTTGAATTGCTTCATCTTTAACTTGGAAGAGTGCCTAGCAATAAATTATCCAACCAAAGTTACAAATAGTCCTGCTTACATCTAAGTTAGGACACATTTTAACTGGGTGCCAAAATAACATGTTTTACCAGTACAGTGTTTGTGTAAGTTTCCCTAACATTGCACAGAGAACCCATATCATATGATCCAAACCTGGTTACAAATTAAAGCTTCTGCTTGGAGGATGCTTTTGCACAGTCATCCATATATTTACAATCTCAATACTGGCTTAAATTAGAAATGATCTTTTCTACCCTAATGTTCACAAATAACAAAAAAAGGGTAAACTGAGCAATGAAACATTCAGTTTTGCCAGTTTATTTTACTCTTCTATTTTTCTGTATTTCAATCTTTTCAGGGCATTGCCTTCATCTTAAGTTCTTTTCTGTAACAAAAGATTGCCTCCTAACTGTCTCCTGCAACAGATCTGTCCAACTTCACAAGTGTACTTTCAAATTTTACTATGAAAGTTTACTTAACAGCCAAATACTTCAAATACTTAGCTCCTAATCAAAACAGGTTTTCTGCCACGTGACGAGGCTTAGATGAAAATGACTCCCCACGTACCCGTAAATATCATAACATAAGCACTGCCTATAAAACATTCAAAGACCATTGTTTATGACTGAAAGCAGATTTAACATGCAAGGTAGAAACTCACCCCTTGAATATATCTAAGTAGGATGTAGTCCAACAAAAATGAGAAAGCAAGATGCTCAATAAAAAATAGTAAGAAGCTGATTTCCCACAGATGCCATACAGCCCAACAGGACATCAAACCAATTATAGGACTTTCTGTAAAAGGTTCAAACACTGCAGGAAAAGGTTCCATTGTCAGACGCAGCCTAGTCCATCTGTGGTATAGCAAATTATATTGATATCAATAACCAGAAATACATAAATTTAATGCATATTTTGTGGTTCACATTTCAGAGTGGTTCAAATGTTTCAAACCAGTTTGATTTTTATCTGTTTAAATTTTGTCCTGCATTCAACATTATATGAAACAAAGGAAATAAAATAAAACTGGTTTGCATTGTAGAACCAACAGAAGATAGAACATCTGAACTACAACATAAGCCATGAGGTGCAAAGAAGTAAACAAGTAGTAATACACTCTCACTAAAACTTCTATTTTGTAGTCTATGAAAATGATGTAAAGTTTATTACATAATGGCCCTTGGAGTTTATATAACGTAGAAATATTCATAATAATAAAAAATTCATCCATCTTTTGTAAATATCATGCAGTTTCCTTTAATATATTCAGAGTGTGCATATCCTCTCTAGATTTTCCATTTATTAATATTTAAATCATAATTATCTAAATAGTACATTTCTGTGATTATATATTCTGTATGATTATGTAACATTTATTCATCTAAACAGTGCAAATAACGTCGTTAGTCAGCATTTTAAATCAAACTTGTTTTGTGCTATGTATCAGACTTCCCTTTTAAACCCTGACACCATACAAAGTTACTTGAAATAATTCAAAAAATCTTCCAACAGAACAAACTGATTTAAGCCACACACTTTCACCTTAAATTCATATTGAATAATATTGGTACACAGACAATCTAACAGCATACCTGATCATTCGTTGCTGAAATCTCATAAGGGAGTATGTACTTGGATTCTGTATGGCTGGGTCAGAGCTAAGAACAACTTTCATACCTCTACAAGGAACAATGTTGCAATAATTAAAAAACTAACAACGCTTTACAATTAATTCATAACAAACTCCAGCTCAATCTTGAAGGAGTTGGTTCTCAGTCTGCCACAATAAAAGGTAAATCAAAATACTCTTTAAAAATAACACTATAATATAATGCAAAGAGGGGGTCTTCTCATAAAAGCTTACTCAATAAGCTTGTTGATAACCTCTCTCAAACATATTAACATTCAGAAATCGACAGATTTGCCATTTACACTCCCTTGCAATGGTTAACAATTATTCACCAAAGTGGAGATGAATGGTGGTGGATATCTACCAAGCCACAAAGCTTTCACGAACACTGAGGTAAATTTAACTGTT